TATTTTGTTTTGAAATTATCTTTTCGAAATCATAAATAATATACTCAAGGATCATTTAAGGTTATAGTAACCTTGTTTTACCAAATCAAAGACAGTATATAACATAGCAGTTCCAGAAAAGCGTACTTAGAGACAAAGATTGCTTTTTTTAGTCTACTTTGAAAAGCTTAAATAGAATCATTTTACATGGACAACCATTGTGGAGAGATTAAATTTCCACAAATGAAAAAATGTATTAGCAATGAAAATATGTATTAGAAAATAGTACTCAAGTTAAACAACATTTTACTATATATTTCATGTTATTTTTATAAACTTTATAATAACAACACATATAAAAAAAATACTATATTGAGTGGCTTTTTTACGCAATAGTATACTTATAATTTAAATTTTTAGTTTTTAATTTAATTTTTAAAATGTTAGCTTATAGAGAAAAATTTGCATATGATTGACATAAAGTGTCTTCTAAAGCATTTGTTGATGCGAGTAACCGCTCCTTTGAAGGTTTAATGATCATATTATTCCAAGATAAAAAAAAAGTTTCTCAACAAGTTTAGCAGAACGTAAAAGTGTAAAACCATTAAAAATAACCGTTAAAAAAAAAGAAGTTTTAATATATTGAAAGTATTTCTAAAAGACTTTGTTTAGTATTTATTATTATATTATGCAACAACTGAAACAAATAGCATACTTCTATTCTTCTTAATTACTATGTTCGACTTTTCTATAACTATGCTCTACTTTACTAGCCATACCCGGTGGGATATCGGCTAACGAATGGCTAGCTATAGTCATAACTATGAAGACAGCAATTTGGCCAAGAGAATCGCTAGCTTTTTAAACTTAGAGAAAAGCCAAAGGTATTTGTAAAGATAAAGTGAGCAATTTGACTACGAGGAAAGCTAGTATAATAAGCTAAAGAGGCTAGCTATTGTAGCTAGCGTCATGTTTTAATTTAACAGCTGTCTAAATAATTTTAATATTTAGCAATCAACCAGCAAAAGATTTGTAAATATTTTGTAGCTAGCTACAAACTATGATATGTAGATAACGACACATGCCACAAACTACGATATGTAGCTAGTGACACATAATCGCAATGTTTAAGTTCAATTATTCTCATAATTAAAGACTCAACACTAAAATTCGAATTTTTAAAGATGTTAAAGACATTAGGAAAAAGTAAAGTAAGAACAAAAAATTGCTTAAAAGTTACTATAAAGCTAGCTAGTCGCTTGATAGTCGATGGCTCATATTCCAGGTATGTTCCTAAATTAATTTTGCATAAATGTAACGTTTTTTCACAAACTTAGAGCAATCTGTTTTTTATATTGTCAAAATTACAGAAATTGAAAAAATATATATAAAATAGTTGTTTTTTGATAATTTTTACCTTTCTGACAACATATTTAGCTATTTTAAATACGATGTGATTGACTTTTCGGTAGATTTTCAATGTAAATTTTCCAAAAATTGATATATTCTTGATTTTTCAACAGATAAAAATGGAGTGTCCAGATCTCCCACTATACTATTTTGATGAACCTTTTCGAGGAGAAACTATAATAGTAACCTCAACTTTAAATTTATGAAACGTGTGCCATACAGTTTTACTTTAACAAATCGCGACGTTAGAATTATCTTGTGCTATCTCCAATTTTTGAAAAAATTGAGATTTTATTATTTTCGAATATTTTAGCATTGTGTTGTTCTACTTTAATTATATTGAAAAAAAATGAAACTTTTAACACGGTATTGCATGCAATATTGCATTGTTCTATCTCCTTAATGAGCGAACTTGAAAATATTATCTTGTTCTATCTCCAATCAACCAATCATATTACAATTACAAAGTTGTTCGGAATAATTTTATCAGTTTTGTTGTTTTCAAAATGGCATTTGCAAATATTGACCAAGAAATGGAACCTGCCCTAAATCAAAACGAAGGTAGTTTTTCAACTTAATTTGTATTATAATTTTGGGAAAGTAGAATTCGACTTTCGCTTGTGCCATTTTAGATTAAATTTAAAAGTTTTTATTTATACATCCTGGATAATAAAAAATTAATATTTTAATCGTTAGAGCGGCTTGGCATTACACCTTCTCGTCGGTCGCCCCATGGTGGGGTTTCTAGGAAACGTAAAGCTGATAGAAGTAGTTGGAAACAAAGTGTAAAAAAAATCCAACGTCAGTCGGGTAAAGCTTATAAAAATACGAAAGGAGAGCAAATGCCAAAAAGATCTATTGTTGCACTAAAAAGTTGCAGAAATTGTAAATTTAAATGTTCTACCAATATATCTGAGATTGAGCGTCAAATAATATTTGATAACTTTTGGACCTTAGATGATGACGGAAAAAAACATTTCTATTCTAAAACTACTGAAAATCTGGAGAAAAAACGCTGTCGGACAGCTGCTGGTGACAATTCAAGAAGAAAAACATCTTATTATTATAGCTTTTATGTTTCTAATACACAATATAGAGTTTGTAAATCATTTTATCTTTCAACATTGAATATTAGCAGCCATAGAGTGTTTTACTTTCATAAGTTTAACAAATCTTTAACTACTGGAACACCATTGCAATCAAAATCAGGGAAACATGTTAAAAAAAGGTTACTAGAAGAGTCTAAACAAGTTGTACGAGACCATATTAACCGTTTCCCAAGAATTGGTGCTCATTATAGCAGGAAAAAGACACATAAAGAATACATAGAAGGATCACTAAATATAGGTAGAATGTATGATCTTTATAAAATATATTGTGATGAAAATGTCTCTCCTCCAGCAAAAGAACATATGTATCGTTATATCTTTAATTACGAGTTCAATATAGAATTTCAAAAACCGAAGAAAGATTTATGTGACACATGCTATGAGTATCGCAACATTGTTAATGCAAGCAATGAACAAACAGATAGTTATAATAAGCACATAAAATCAAGGAATGATACCAAAACTGAAAATGATCGCCAAAATGTTGATTCTAAAACTGCAATTGTTTGTATTGACCTTGAAAATGTTTTAAATTTGCCTAGAGCTAATGTGGGAAACTTTTATTACAAACGAAAACTTTCAAATTATAACTTAACTGGTCATTGCTCGCTTAACAGGAAGGGTTATTGCATCTTTTGGCACGACGCCATGACTGGTCGTGGAGGAAATGATCTAGCCAGTGCTGTAACATGTTTGCTTTTGAAAATCATGGCTGACCTTGACATAAATAAGTTCATACTTTGGTTCGATTCATGTGTACCACAAAACCGCAATAGTTTCATGTCAGCAGCTTTGCGTGAATTTATAATACGATACCTACAAATAAAAGTAATTGAACAGAAGCTCTGCGAGCCAGGTCATTCCAGCATTTAAGAATGTGACAACATTCATAGTCAGATTGAAAAATCTCTCTCTGCTGCAGAAATATTTAGTCCACTTGGGCTAGAAAGAGCTATTAAAAATGTAAACCGTAAAAAACTTTTCTGTGTTTACCAAATGCAATTAGGAGATGTAAAGAATTTTTCAGTTGTCGCTGGTTTGTCAAGTTATAACTTAGTGCCTTATTCAAAGGTTAAAAATCTTGTTTATCGAAACGGACTGCCATACTATGTTTTTTTTAAAACCTCGTTTTCAGATAATTATTCACAAGCTCGTATAAATAAGTCTGTCAAGAAAGCAGCATCAACCGTTGTTGCAAAACCATTAAATACCAATATACCAATGGCAGCTTGCTTTCGTGCTTCTTATCAGTCTATATCTGTTGCAAAAGCCAATGATATCATTTCCATGTATTCATACATGCCTGCTGTTGATATTGCATTTTTTAAAACAATAATAAATTAAACATTTACAAAACATTAATAAAGTCAAAATATTTTTAGGGTTGTTATATGTTTAGTATAAATATAAATAACATATTTATATATATAATAATATAAATAATGTACATATAAATAACATATTTAAATAAAATATTTATTTAATATAAATATAAATATAAAACACATTGAAATAATATTATTTTGAAATCTTGATAAAAATTTTTGTTTAGCTTGTGTTTTTTTTGTTTGTTTTTTTGAACTTTTATATTCATTTTCGCCCACTTGTTTGGTTTGGATGGTTTTCCATAGTGACATAAAGGCCACTATGAAAGAGTTAAAGCAATGTTTCACAACCTGATGCCCTTCCTGACGTTAACTTGAGTAAGAATTTTTTATTTGTAAATATTTGCAATAACTTTTAATAAAAAGTTAAACTCTATTAATGGATACACAGGCATAAGAAAAATAAAATCAAGTTTATCTTGCATGGATTTTTTTGATTAGATTAGTTGAATTGTTGTGAATTATCAGATAGTTACATAATGTTATTTCTTTTATTATTACATTTTTTTTAACATAACTCTTTTCTATATACCTTTCATAATTTATTTTATACGTTTATATTATATTAATACGTTTATATTATTATTACGCAGCCAAATTTTCTGTTTTAAATTAGACGTCTTAGTCGTGTCCAGAGCCGGCGCCTACAGGTAATTAAAGTAAATGTAAGTCGTAAGAACAGTGTCGTTAGAGGCTCTTCTAAAAGTTCTCCTAATTAGGGCCTCATTTTATTTAAAAAAACTTAATTTTTTAGGTAATACAAAAAGCGTCTTATATTTTGAAAAGAGTCCCGTTAAATTAGGGGCCCATGCCCCTAATTTAGGGGCCCATGCCCATAAATTAGGAGTGTATGGTACTGCGTAAGAATAATTAGCAGGTAGAACAAAATTTCATCAATTTCTAACATGTCGTTGTTGAAAAATGTACTTAATATGTTTAATATATATGATGTAACAACATAATATTTTTGAATTTTACTAAAAACCAAAGTTATTTTGTTCTATCTCCAAAAGAGGGTGCGAAAAACAGGGCGTTAGCGTAATTTTAAAAAGTTTTTTTTATCTAAAAATTAATAATAAAACATTTTTAAATCTTAGGAAATACCTAAATTTTCAAAATATTTTTTCAATTTAGCTGCGAACAAATTCAAACTTTGACATCGATTTTCTCAGTTTGCAAACCCATGGAGATAGCACAAGATAATTCTAACGTCGCGAAATGTCTAAGCAAAAAAATCATCAAAATAATATTCGCGCAAGTTTTTAAAAAAAGTTCATCGGTATAAGAACTTTTTAAAAACGCCACATTAACGTTGGTGTCCAAACATCATTACCGCTTTTGCGAAAGAATAAACCTTGTGCATTTCCTAAAAAAAAAAAATATTAAAAAAAAAAAAGCAAATTAGAAAACAACTATAGAAAAAACTTTTATGCATGTTTTTACCTAACCACTCTTTTTTTCCAAAAGTAAAAACTTGAGTAAAATCGCCTTCTAAATTCCTTCTCATAGCTGGATCAATAAAGCTCGCAGCTGTTCTATAAAATTCCTCATTGGTTATTGCCAACCATTTCTTTAAAATTTTATGAAACATCATGTATGTTTTTTGATTACGGTGGATTGCATACAGCTCTTTAGTGGACAAATGTCGTCCAAGAACTGAACCAATACGTACGTCCAATGCTAAAATAAATATTTTTATTTAAGGAGTCTTCCATAATGTACGTACAGTGGTATAAGGGAGAGATATTTGCACAAAAACTTATGAATGCATTAGGAAGGGGCTAGCTGTGTTAAAGACAGCTTGGCTTTTTTTCTAAAACTAAAGCATTGAATTTTTCAGTGTTAAAAATTACTATTATGTTATGTAACGTAGAGATGTCAAATTATCTTAGAGTTTTTTTGTTTTTAATGTTTTAGAAATTTTATGCGTTGGAGAAAGAGGGTTTGTAATAAACAATACGTATAGGGAAAGGGGTTTGTTGAAAGCATAAAGGTGTGTACACGATGGAAAAAGAAGCTCTTAAATCAGTGGTTTTACTGCGTATGTATTTAAAAGATCCCCCTAAAAAATAATGTAAGCACGCATAGAGGAAGATTATAATGAAAATCATACAAAGGTGAACAGTGGAAAAAGAGGCCCTAAATTAGTGGTTTAATTACTTACGTACTCTATAAATGCCCCTTAAGAAAAAATGTAAGTAATGCGTTTGTAGGTTTTATTTTTTGTTTAAAAAGCTTTTACATAATATGAAATTGTAAATTTAATTGAAGTTATTAGTTTGTATTCTAATAACTATAATAGAATGTCGAAAGTAAACTATCAATACCAGAAATAGTTTGAGCTTTTCAATAAAATCCTTCTCCAACCCTCACTTCTCAAAATTGAGTCAATAAACCGCTCTATATTCGTCTACTCTTAAAACCTTAATAGAAGGAGAGGGGGGAGTTTATTAATTTCTGGAAATTTTTAACACTCATACAAAACTTATTAAGATCCTCCGTTTGTTAAATGTTACTTGTTATCAATAAAAAAACTTATATCTCAAAATTAAAAAAAAAAGTTCTGTTAAAATCGCCCTGTAAAATTATAAAATAACTATTTCAGTCAACAATAATAACTAAAACTTTCAGTGTAAACAGGTTTTAAAAAATTGTCAACCTAGTAAAACTTGATTTGTCGAAAATGAGCACTTCGTTTACTTCAATGATTATTTATGCTGCACCATAAAACGACATTTATAGCGTTTTTATTTTGAAACAAGTAATGAAATATGTAACTTCACCGCTATTTTAATCTTAGAGATTTTCAAATTCAATCTATATAAAAAGTCTGTCCGTATGTATAAGCGTCTTTTTATATCAAATAAAATAACTTCATATACCAGTATACATATTTACATGTATTGTGTATTATTTTTTTTCGTCTTTAAAGATGAAGGTTAGAAATAAAGATTATTTTGTAATATTGGTTCTAGCATATAACACACTAGCAACTATTGCTTAGCCTGCTTTATCTTCTGATCGAATCGACTTTTTTCAAAATATTAAAAACTAATCTAAACATCGAATCTTTATTTTTTTCTTTGTTTTAACTTTTTATTACTTTTATTATTTTTTAGTCCCAAATGTATGCTGTCAGTTATATATTAAAAATTACAACTTAAGGGAATAGTAAAATAATAATACATTTAAAATTTAATCAAAGTGAAATGTAAAAAAATTTTTAATGACTCTATATGCTATTTTGATAAATAGCATTTAGAACAAAATAAACTGAATTACACAAGTAATGTAAGAATAATAATAAAATCAAAAATTAGTTACTGATTAAATTAATTAAAACTAAATTAAACAAGTAATGTACAAAAAAATAAAAAATTAATAAGTAGTGTAAAAAAAAAAAAACAATAGAAAAAAAAGCCAAAATCAACATATACTTAAAATATGAATAATAGACATGCACCAAACGGTTTAGCAATAAAAGTTCTGAAAGAATGATAAAAGTTTAAACTAAATTTTTATTTCTTGTTAAAATGTATTCCCACATCAATATTAAAAATCTTTTCAAAAATAAATCATAACTTATAAAATATACTTTTAAATATCTTTTGAATATCTATATAAAATTTGATTTCACTGTATAAAAATAATAAACTAATATTTAAAATGTCAAAGTTCTTTATTTTTCTTAAGTAATAAATCAATTGTTTTATCTAGTTTTTCATTATATTCTATCTTTTTTTTCCTCTCTTTAAGAATAACTTTTGCATCAATAACATAAGTATGAATTTTTTTAACATCATTTTCAGCTTTCACAAGAGTTGCTTCTGAACCAATTTTTACTGCTTTTTCTACTTTTTTCCAGAATAACCTTATGAGATTGCAAGCCTTTTAATGTCTATAGCAAGTAAGTCACTTTTTCGTTTTCGAGCATCTGTAAGCACAGTTTCTTTTCGAGAAGCCATTTCAATCTTTTGTTAAATCCGTGACTTTTTGACAGATTCTTTAAGTTCTATAGAGAAAACTATAGATTCCGGCTTTAAGTCAAGAGCTTTCATATGGTCATACACAATTTTTTCGCTTACTGTTAATGTTAAACTCTTTTCCAACTGCTGCTTGACCATGAAAAAGAGGCCACACCATTTTGATTAATTTGGACAGTATCGTATTTTCTTCTAAACCATCAACTTTAGAAAAAAAGAACTTATCCAATCTATCATCTATTTTGTTGAATTTCATGAAAAGTTACTTATTTTTAGATCTTTTCTAAATATCTTGTGAATTCTGTATTTATCTCATTACCCACTTTTTAGGGTAGTCCAATACAATTAAATCAAGTTATCAACATAATCACTTGTCCATTCTTTTTGCCATTTTTTCATTGCAAATTATTTCTGGGTCAAAATATTTTGCATTTTGCACAATGGCATAATTTAAAGGCGATTTTTCTACAAACTTACATGTCAACAACTGTAGCTCAATAGGTTCATTTTTTCTGATTAAGCCAAATTAATTGATTTGCATTAAACTAGATGGGTTCAGAAACAGGGAGGCCAAAATGTTATTAACTCCATGAAAGAAATCACATACAAATAAGGTAAGAATTTAGTTTTATCAAAAGTTTAACTTTTTTATATAATATCGGTATTTTTTTTTAAATCTGGAATTTGTGTTTATTAAATTTCATTACAGTGATTTCATCTACTAAGTTTGATATATCACGTGTTGTGATATATCAAACCTAGCAGAGAACAATTTAGATGGAGCATTAGTTATTTTAATATAACTAAACTTACAATAAAATAAAACTTTATTGCAAAATTTAAAAACATAAGTGATAGGATTATGAATCAACACAAACATTCTAACCTAATTTGTAAGTAACTTCTTCCAAGAGAGAGAGAGAGAGAGAGAGAGAGAGAGAGAGAGAGAGAGAGAGAGAGAGAGAGAGAGAGAGAGAGAGAGTGCCATTGCTAGTATCTAATTTATATAGGGACTTGATGCTTCGAGCTAGAGTAGATGAATTTAAAAAAAATAAAAGTTTTGTTCAAAAAAGTCAGATCTAAAGATAACTAGTATTAGACTTGCGCAGCCAATACACCGAACAGGTGTCGTTCAGTGTAATTTGTAAGATATGTTCAAATTTAAAGAACAACATTTAGTTTGAAATAAAAAACATATTACTGGTAAAACCCTATTACCAAGGATTGTCGCTTACTTTTTGATTTTCAGCCAATCCAACAGGGTCTCATTTGCTTATCTTGCTAATGAGACCCTGCATTTATAGAGGTTTATTTGGACATTCAAACCTAAAAAATATGAAGCAGATATTATATTTTGTTTACAATTTTTGTTTTTAGTGGTGTATTGAGAGATGTATTTTATTGATATATTAAAGTAAATGTAAAGTCAAAAATAGCTGGTTGGTTAAATACTAGGCTCCATACCCCGTATCCAGCTCCAAGCTGATTTGAACAACATATTAAATGCATAAACCAAGTAATCTTTGTCAGTGAGGTTGAAGTCAATTAAGCAACTCATTAAGTGCAAATAACCCAAATGCTTTCCTGAAGTTTTCTACAACAAATATATTTTTTTAAACAAAAATCGATTGTATAATAAATCGTTTTAAAGAAGTTCTTTTTCGTAGATTTATAAATTAATTAAATAATATTATAACTCTCATTCTTTGACTGTGACTGTTCCGAAGTGGTTCTAAAAATTCTTATACGTCAAGATTTTTTCCTCAAGCATCAGTTTTTTGAAATTCATTTTGTTTTCCAGACATTTATAATTTGTAAGTTGTCTTTCAATTGTTATCTTGCTCTATAAACATCATCTTTTTTCTTCCAGTAACTTCCAATTTTATTATTGGTAGTTTTCATCCTTGTTAGAAGTAAGTATATCAAAAAAAAATGTTTGTAGAAATACAGCGCTTTCAAAAAAAAAAAGCAAATATTGAACAAATTTATTGTTTTTATTTGCGAGAAAAATCTTTCATAAACAAATCTTGCAGATTGGATGGCATACTAAAACATAAAGCTGTATATAAAAACGTTATCAAACACGATAACAAAAAATATTGTTACAGAATTAGATTGAAACTCTTCTCCAAATGGTATTTATTTCTTGCTTTAAGGTATTTGTAGATTGTATATGCACCTTGACTAATGCTTTTCCATCCAAGCCCAAATAAATTCAATTGATTTTAATACTGGTAATTGAGCTGGCTTGTTTAATAAATATAATATAAGATTAGAGCACTAATAAATAGTAAAAACACTTATCTAATTTTTTTCGTCAGCAACTTGTTTCACAATAGGTTGATTAGGAAGCTTCCTTATCAACCTATTGATGGTAAAACAAGTTATTGAAGAAAAAATAAATGTTTGAAAATATAATAAATGAATAAATGCGAAATAACTAAACTTTATGTTTAAATCCTAACAGCTCTATCAATTCCACCATAGCTTACCCCTAAACTACCATTTAATTAGACTCTATCGGAGAAATGTCAAACAGTTCTGTTTTCCCTGCAACCCATACCGAAGCTGCAGTTTTATCTTATTTTTAAAAAATGCTAAAACTATTATTTTTTTCACTATTAAAATTTTATGTAAATAAGTGGAACTGATAGAACAACAGTATTTTTTATATATTCCCCAGTTTCTTTTTCTTTAATAGATGATATGTTCCCTACACCTCTATAAAATGTTTTTTTTATAACAAATAAATTAGGACTAAAAACTATTTTAAGGATGAGCAGAATTTTGATAATTAAAAAGTTCATTAAAATTGAAGTCAACATTTGGATTTTTTTTAGTATTTAGAATTTTGTAGTAAACTGCATGTTTTTTCATTAAAAAAATATTAAAGGATTTTAGGGTTTTTTAAAACAATATTTAAAAGTTATAGAAAAAAAAAAAAAAAAAAAAAAAAAACAGAGCTACCTTTATAATATCAAATAAATCTTTACAAATATACACAAAGTAAAAAATCAAAAAAAAGATGGTATGGGTTTTTGCAAACTATTTTAGAAATGATAAAAAGAGCTTTACAATTGGTCTTTTCATCCCCATAAGTAGTTTTCTGAATTTTAAAAAATTAAAAATTTTTAGTACTATTAAAAGTTTATGTAAATAAGTGATATAATTAATAATATGATATGGGCTGTAATAATAAGTAATAATATGATATGGGCTGGTCATAAGCTAGGACTGCGTTTTTAAAAAACGCAAAACACCTAAATGACCCAAATTCTGTCTCCTTTCAAAGATATTTATTGCGTTAAATATTGAGTAAGCGGTCTTCGGCCTTACTTTTAAAAAAAAATGAAATCAATTTATTATATGTAGAGCCTAAATGATCAATGCCACTTTATTTGATCTGAGTTTGAAAATTTAGTTAACTTGTATGAAGCATGAAAATATTTTGGTTGTGAAACAAATATTTAAAAAAACTGTTTCGCTGATTTTTCTTGTTTATTAACAATATAAATCAGCGTTCATTGTAGTTTAATGTACTATTTAGTTAATGGTTTATCCTAGTAATCAAAAGATTGTATTTAATTTTGAAGTTAAAGTCATTTAAGTTAATTTTGAAACTAAATGTTTGGTTGCGTTAATCTTGTTGTTGTTGTTTCTTACTAAAAAAAAACAACCTGTTCATTGCCATGTAAATTTTATGGCCGTGATTAAGTCCACTTTTAAATATTTTTAAAATTTGTTTAGAATAAAATGAACTTGTTAAATCAGTGATTGTTTCAAAATTTTTAACTCTATATTTTGGTTGTTACTAATTTGAGTTAACTTTTCATTACCTTTTACTTACATTTTTTGTTTTTTTAGTTTTAAAATGTTATATTATAGCAAGTAATAAAAACAATTTATTTGAATAATAAAAATTAATTTATTTAATAAGAAACTTTTTTAAAATATTTTATATTAACTTTTAATGAATGACTCCCACTAAAATAAAAAAAGAATACTTAATAAAAATCTATCTAATATAAAAACCCAGTTGTGTGCTTCTCCAGGTCAATCTACAAAACTTGAAATTTAAGATAAGCTCAAGTTAGTTAACTATGCCTCTAAACAAGCTTCTATCGGTATTAGTTGTAGACAATGTATAAATTTATGAAATTTGATACTGATATAACAATCAAACAGGGTATTTTATTCAAGAATGACATAGTGGTACCTAAAAAACGGTACCAAAAAATTTTTTTTTTTTTTTTGGATTTTATTTTTTTGATTTTTAGAGATAAGAGCTATGACTTAGACTAAGATTAAATGATGATTCTATTGATTGATGCTAAGTTCACAAAATATAGAAAGTCAAAAACTGTAAGTTATTAACCAATATTGCTCTAAGTAATGACTCAGGCATTCATATTCCCACTCAAATTTTTGTAAAAGGTAAAGTCTGAACTTTCACACTGACTTCAACCTTCAATCAGAATGTACTTGAACCCATAACTAAAACAAAAATATTGTTTGCCAAGATATGATGAATCTAAATCCAGCTTTTCGTGTCATATAAGAATTTTTGTGGTTTGTTTAAAACAAAATGGGTAAAAGCTATGATAGAAAAGAACATTTATTCAAAATTTGATGGATGTGAAATTTTTCTATTTATTCCCAATAAAATACCCCAAGAGGCTTATCTGCCTAACAAGTATTATAGGCTATTATAATTTAGAGAAATTAAATTGATGAAAAGCATCAAGTAAAAGTATTAATTTTGCCCCTGATGAAAAGTTATTGAGAAACTGTTTTCAGAAATTCTAAATAATCGACTAAAAACAAATAAACTTCGTAAATAGTTTAAAAGAAGTAAATAATTTAAAAACTTAAGGTAAATAACTTCAAAATAAATTTTTGTGTTAAATCCAATTACTTTGAGTTTTGAGGTGATTGGAATATGTTTATTTTTTCACTTAAAGCAGAAAACGGGTGACAACTAAAAAACGAGACTGGATATAAAGTAAAAATTTCAACTGTACTCAGCAACACTTTAGTAAACAAAACAAAACAAAAAAAAATCAATTATTAAATCAAGAAAAAAAAATGACGATTCCAAAACACTCTGACCAGCAAAAAGCAATAACTAGAACGTAAGTGCAGTCGATTTTGTCAGAAATTCAAATATCGTAAACCAATTATTGACGAGTCTTATTTCACGTTAAATTACTCCAGTATTAATAGAAATGATATATTTTTTACTAGCGATGTAAAATCTACTCCATCTACGGTTAAATACCAAAAAAATTTCAAAAGAAATTACTTCTATGGATTGCTTTTTCTGAAAATGGAAACTCTCAACTTTTTTTTGTACTAAGTGGACTGGTTGTAAATTAAAAAATTTATTTAAATAAATGTATTAAGGAAAGACTTATTCCATTCATCAATAAGTATCATTCAGATCGTGCATATGTATTCAAACCCGATTTAGCATCATCTTACTATGCAAAAATAGTAATGAAGTACCTAAACAGGAAAAAAAGAAAAAAGTGCATTGTGTTGAGAAAGCGGATAACCCTGCAAACTTGCCAGAATGTCACCCTATCAAAAAAATTATGGAGTGTTTTGAAAGATCTTTTCTACAAGAACAATTGGCATGCAGAAAATCTTAAAAATTACGTTCTAGAATCAAATATTTCCTTAATAAAAATGATATTGTGCCTATACAGAGATTAGCTCCGTCTATGCCAGGTCTATTTGATAAAATCTGAAGCTATGGTTTGATTGAGAAAAACTGATTATATGTTTAAAAATTAGAATAAATAAAAAACTTTATTCCTTTTTTTCATCTTATTTCTTTTACGAGATATGTCTCTTTAAATCCTGTTTCGTTTTTTAAATGTCACCTGTTATTTGTACAAGTAGTTCTAATGCTGTTTCACCAATCATTTCCATTGGTATTTTGAAATTTTACTGTTTATATATTTTAATAGTTAAATATTTCGTATTTGCATCTAAGTATGTTTATGTAGAAAAAGAACTGATATTGCAAAGATCAGGAAAATGATAATAAAACAAAATGGAAAAAGAAAAAGAAAATATATCCAGAAATAGAAAACATATCTAAAATATATCCATTTAACAAATAGTTAAAGTAAAGTGTATTTGCTGAGAGTTCAACATTCTCACAAATGACTGTTAAAAGAGTAACTTAAAAAAGATTAGAAAATGTTGAAAATTAAGCAAATTCAAAAACCCAAAAAGATGAAAATTAAACAAGTTAAATAGAATAGAAGTCAATAAGCTGCAAACAATCCTTTCAAACAATGTGGAATAATCTAAATGTCAGCAGATTATCCTAAACTGATAGACAAACGGACATTCAATGTAATATATTGTAAGTGGTATTTTGAGAGCTTTACTGAATTAAATGTAGTTTTTGAGGATAAAAATTTTGCTAGTTATTAGCATTTGAACCTTTAAAAACAATTTTTATTTATTTTTTTAATAATAAAATTAAACTCCTCAATATTAATTTATTTGCAAAACATCATAATAGTGTGTTTTTAATGTATTTTGTTTATTAAAATGTATTTATCTCTAAGAACCTTATCTATTACTGAGTATTTTTTTGTAAATTTGTTAATAATTATATTCTAATCTTAACATAGCAGCCAGAACTAAACTTAAAATAGACAATGAACTATATCCTTGGTTATGACTCACGTTGTTTTAGTTTAGTACTTCTGTTACTTTGTGCTTCTAGTAACATTATATTAGTAATTTCATTTATATAAGTAATTGTTGAATAAAACATAAATTTTCTTATAAATTTTTGTAAACATAATTAAAACTTAATGTATTTTTAAAACATATAAAACTCACCATTCCATACATTCTCTTCATCATTTGAAAAAAAACATGCTGCTTTTGTACTAAAAAAAATTATTCAGTTTTTATTTGTGTTCATTTTTTTATTTACCTTAACGTCACATCATATTTCTATTCAATTTTAACCCTCGCATCATATTTCTATTTAACTTCTTCTCAGTTATTGTTTCTATTCAGGTTCTAGTTAATTCATGTCTTCACAAAATCATGTTAAAATAAAACTAAATAATTTAAATCAAAAGATATTTTTATGTGTATTGCATAAAAAAGCATTGTTTGCAATGCTTTCTTTCAGTAATCATAATGCTATACTCTCGGAATGCGCACAAATGATATACAATAATATTTTTTTAAAACCAAATCAATTCAATGAAAACTTTGGCAAAAACTTAAATAATAGTTTCTAGCAATAAATAACAAAAAAGCGATTTATAGAAGTAGCGTTAGACAAAAGCATATAATTATATAACTTAAAAAATTCCAAGCTAACTTCATGACAAATAAAAAAAATGAATACAATGATATATTACCATTCCACAGAGTGTCACTGAAACACAAAGATTTAAAGCAGATGCAGCTGAACTTAGTTATTTATACAAAAAGATAATAATATTGAGTGTGATGAAAAATTCCGAGTGTTTGAAAAAGGTTTCGATTAAAACAATTGGTTAATGCAATTGGGTCCACCTAATGTACTATATTTGCCCCATTAAAAACAGTAAATGTTGCATTATGCCATTAGTAGTATATATAACTATAGCATTTATGCTATAGTGCAACATATACTGTTTTTGAGGCACAATCTTTGCACCAACTGTTTAGTACTTCACAAACTACCCAGCGGGCTTTTGTTTTTAAAAGTTACGTTCTAAATGTGTTCTAAATGTCTTTTAAACGTCTTTTAAATATTCTTACGTAAAGAACATTTAAAAGACGTTTAAAACATGTTTAAAAGACATTTAGAACGTAACTTTTTAAAAAATAATGCCCTTAGGGTATGGTTAGCTGGTTTAGTAGATTCTGAAATCCAGGAACATATTTGTCAGTTGATATTTAGTAGTGTTGCTACGACTTTGAAATAACTCGATTTTCGACTAAATCAATTATAGCGTTTTTCAAAGTCGACTAAATGGAAATCGACTAATTCGGCTAAAAGTTGATTTAATCAAAATATTTGATTTATTTTAAATTATAATATTTAAATGTTGCTCGGCAATTTATTTCTTAGATGAAATAAATAGAACTTTAAGGGACTAAACAAAAAAATAGGTGGTATTATTCTATTAGATTAATGTAAATTGAGAATAAACAAAAAAAACAGAAAATACATTAGAAAATGTAAGATGACCATTTTATATGTCTTGGTTTAACAAGACACATTGTTCAGCAAAATCTGGTTTAAGTTTATTTCGCCGTTCTGAAATGATTTCGGCAGCCTTTGAAAATAACTCTTCAGAAGGCATTGATGAAGCAGTTATACAGAAGACCATCTTCGCTATCTTTGACAAAACGAGATATTGGCATAAAGTGTTTTTATAAAATGTAAAAAGACATAATTATTTCGGTACTTTTATATTCATATTTAAAAAAATAATAATTTCGTTGTCTATTGATAACAAATCTTCTAAAGACATTTATGTTTCATTACGTAACAATATTTTTCTTTTTTGATTGACTTCTTTGACTAGATGATGACTCTTGGCTAGACAATTGAAGGCTTTTTGGTGTTAGCTGCAATTCATGGCTCAATTGAGCAACTAAAAAATGAGCTTTTTTAATACAAGAAGTTTTCGCTGTTTTGTTCGATATAAATTTAAAATCTCAAAATTGCGGATCTAAATATGTGGCAGCATACAACTTTTCAATTTTAAGAAAATCCTTCCATTTTCGATTAAAATTATCTTTCAATTTGAAATCAAGATTCATGATTGCACGAATATTTGATTCAGTTTTGAAATTAGCAAAGTTATCAGTTAATTTATAAACGGCTGCAAATATAATTGAACAAGTGGTATATTTTTATCCGCTCAAAATTTTTGTAAAATAATGTATTGGCTCTAATAAATCAATCAGCTCGCCAATGATTTCCAGTTCCTAGCATTTTGATAACAAATCCTTATTATCTTTATTCTCTGGCTTGATAATAACGTCTTTGATCGATTCGCTAAGATTAAAAACTGACTGCAACATTGAAAGGGCCAAAATCCACAGAGTAGCATCGTCTTGTTTTAATTTGTTATTTGAACATTTATCTTCTTGATTGTCAATTTTTATATTATTTAACTCAACACAATTTACAAGCTGAGCAGAAAGCTTATCGGGTGGACACGGAAACATCCGGTCAACTTTAAATTGAGATTTCTCTAAAATCATAAATGCTTTTTATTTCAATTTTTTTTTTATTAAATGTATTTACATAAATTAGAGATTCAACTTAATTTTAAGAGGCTTGATGGGTTGCGTGGCAAAAAATCGAACTTTATAGCGGGTTGATAATATCATTTTACAGATTTTTTCTCTTTTTCATCATATTGGTGGCATTAATCCACTTTTTTTGGAAGTCCTTTTTATTATTTGTTAGTCCATCTCTCTTTCGAAGAACTCCTTTAACTATTGCCCAAAAATTTCAATCTTGCGCTCTTCAGGACGATTTGGAGGATTCGCATCTTTAGGAACAGTTTTCACATTATTATCTTTGCACCAAGGTAAAACTTTTTTAGAATAGTGTGAGGCAGCAAGATTGGGCCAAAAGAGACATCTGTATTTGTGTTTTTTTATAATAGGCAAAAGTCTTTTTTGGAGGCATTCTTTGATGTAGAGATTGGCAGTCAAAGTCTTTTCAGTGACAAAACAAGAGGACTGCATACCACAGCAACAAATTGCTTGCCACACAAGGAACTTGGATGCAAATTTTTTTCGTCGAATATATTTAAATTGATCATCGACAAATTTATCTTTGTTTTCATAGTAAAACTGTTGACCAGGAAGTTGTTAAAAATCCGCCTTGCAATATGTTTCGTCGTCTTCAATTATGCATATATTTTTATCCGACATTATTTTAACCAACTTTTTTGCGCGTCGAATTCCTTTAATTTCACAATTTAAGCTTCTCTTAGGTGCATTTTTTTATGAAATGCTTTAATTCTAACATCTTTAAGTTCTTTTTTGATATAAGAACGAGAAGTCTTAAGTTTTCTTGCTAGATCTCGCTCTGACTGATTTGGTTTTCTTGCTATTGAACGTAAAATCGACTTTACCTTTTTGGATTTATGGAAAGTTTTTTTTCTTCCACTTCCAAATTTTCTTTCAAAGCTTTGAGTAGTCTTGAACTTGTTTATAATATCTATGACTATAGATTTTGGGATAGGAAGTTGATGGATTTTTGCAAAAAAAATTTTACTAAAAAAAATTTTTGCAAAAAACGTTTTTACGCACCTCAACTTGTTTCCAAAACATTTTGCAAATCATTAACTTGTTAACAAAAATTTATCAACACCATTTAAGATAAGAAAGTAAGGTTTAATTTAAAAAAAAAAATTAAACAAATAGCATTTGTGGTTTCGGAGAAATCTCAATTTAAAGATGACCGGATTTTTCCGTGTCCACCCGATATTAATATGTTTGAGTTAGCCAACGAGTTTCCTACATTTCTTTAAAGTTATGAAAACGCAATGATTTTTGTCAGTTGATAGCTCATTCTCTTTTACAAAAACATCTTTAACAATGAAATTCAATATATGACAAATAGAATGTACTATTTATTAATTAGATCTTCTAGACAATGTTTGATATTTGCAGCAGTGTCACTACTCGTTGAAAGTAGTTTTTTACTTATTTTTCATTCATTTAGAATTAACTCAATTTGCTCCTTTAAATATAGGTTCGTATGGGCTTTTGAGCTATGCTGTAATGCAATCCGAATCAATTTCAAACAAAAACTTTGATCAACAAAATTTACTGTGGCGTTGGTGAATGAATGAGAGGCTCGTGATGCCCATACATCTGTGGTAAGATGGTATAATTCAGCTTTGTTTAAAAGATGCATTACTTTTACTTTAAATGATTCAAATTTAAAAGTTACTATTTCATACGAAAACTTTTGTCTTGTCGGCAATTTGTATTTGTTGTCAAACGAAGCTAGTATTTTAATAAAATACTTATTATTAACAATCGACAGCGGTTGACCTGTTTGAAGAACAAAGTTACACACAGACTCTTCTAAATCTCTATATTTCTGCGACCTTGAACAATATGAGTAGAGTTAGCAAATGCAGCTTGGATAGATGCATGACCAGTTGTTTGACTTGGATTGTAGACTCTTTAATATTAATTCAATGTTTACTATACAAATGATTTGCCATTGAGCTTGTATTTTTATTGCATTTTAGCTCTTTGTTGCAAATTTCGTTTGTTGAAGTATCTTTATATTCACACGTTGTTATTGAAGAGTAATTGCTTTTCACAAAATAATTCCAGATTTTACTTTTATGAATGTTCCGATTAGAGATTTTATTTCTACCATAAAAAGAGAATAAAAATAAAATAGCTTTTAAGTGTGTTCAGCTAAGAATTCCCTCATGCAGAAATAATGTCCTGAAGGATTGCATGAGTACCTATTTGCATGAGTACCTATTATTAATATAATTAGAACTATTCTAATCGTTATTTAATTTTTAAAGGGAGTTAAACCAATCGTTTAATATGTCCATTGGGAATTACTATTATATGTATCAATCAATAAAAAGAACTTGATTGAATTTATTGATTTATTGACTTTTAATTGAATTAAAAGTGAGAAAGTTTAAAAAAAAAGATTCTATCTGTATTATTTATCAAAACAATTAAAGACGTAACTTTTGTGGCGTATCAAGGTGCAGGCTGGCAGGGCCAAACTTTTTTGTGGATTTCAGAATTATAAAACTTTGTCTCATTTTGTTAACTGATGACACATTAAATACTTTTTTAATGAATTTATTTTTTATAACGAGTCAGTAAAACAAGAAAAAATAAAAATTAATGTAGTGGCACAGCATACAGTAAGCATAGAACTGTGAAACAGCAAATTAGGTTCAATGTTCCGATATTTTGGTTGAATTAAAAACCTAGCTATTAATAATGATCTTACTTATGACTCAATCTTTACAAATAATTTATCTTTATAAAGTAATCTCGTTATAAGGATACATCTTTACTAATTGGTCAGCATCATAATAAAATTAAATATTGACAAAGTTAAATCAAACGAGGAGATAACGATAAGAATTTTAGGACCCGACTAAATTGACTTTTAGTTGATTTGTATATAACCAATAGTCGATTAAATCGAATATTAGATTTTTCATAGTTGACTAAATTCGATGTTTGACTAGTCGACTTTTAGACGATTTAGTCGAAGTCGATAACAACACTAATATTTATTTAAGTATTTTAATTGGTTTAAATTAATAATGTTTTCCCTCTTTTTATACCAAATATTTCCCACCAGCAACTTTTGTAGCTCACTACTTTTTTTTTTTTATTCTACTATTTCTTCCCTTGTTATTTTGTCTAGTGTTTTTTATTTCTCTAACGTATTTTTTTTTTTTTTCAACTGTTTTTTATTTTTATGCTGTAATGTGTAGAAATGAATGTTAAATTGAAAATAGTATTGCTTATTTTTTTATAACAAAATCTCTATTATCTGTAAAGACATATTTGTTAAACTTTTCATTGATCATTTTAAATTTTTTCAGTAAGAGTTTTGACTTCAATCTATTTATTTTTTTCTCCTGATAATAAACTATTATCTGGAAAAAAAGTTTATTTTTTTCAGATACTAAAAGTCTTAATTTTTTTTCATGTTATAAGTATTTTATTTTTACATTAATGGCCAATAAACTAAATCAACTATAAAATAAACAGTTAAATGAAGTTTTGGTGTAGATGCATGTTTCAGTATATATGATAAAGTTAAAGGATAAATGGCAGTTTTTTCAATTAAAATTTTTTATCATTGCATGCTGTTATAATTTCCCTCTGGTGCCCTTTGAGGCTACACAGAGGATTCCTATATCTGAGGGCCATTTAAAACATCTGTTTTCGATTTCAGGTTGACAAAGTAATTTGGCAAGGATGACGAGGTAGTTTGGCAAGATTTTTATACTTTACATAAAAAACAATCATCATATGTAAAAATACCATTCTAAAGATAAAAGTTACTTACACTAATATTTTTTTTTTAAATAATGAATTGATCAGTTTCAATAATCAAATAAAGGCAGCTAGTTGTTGGAAGTGTAACCTGTGGTTTAACTTTGCCTGCATTGTGGAAAACATATCTAGCTAAAATTGATCTGCACTTTATTTAAATGTCTTAAGAACCCAATAGAAAAATAATCATTGTATAATATTAATTTAGCTACAATAATGTTTTTTTTTTTTTTTGTTCTTATTATAATTTATTCAATGAAAAATTAATTAATTTACAATTAGATCGTTAGGAAAAGTTTACAATTAGATTGTTAAAAACGTTTATCAATAAGAAATAAATAAAAGATAAAACTAAGACATTTTTGTTAATATAAAAAGAACGCGGAGACTCGGAGGAGACCATTAAGTCTTGTCATCATGAACCGCTCGTAAATTAAAACTTCATAAAGTTCAATATATATATAGTCAAGTGCGTATATAGTAAATCACATTTAAGTGCATCTTCTTATAAATATTCAACTGAATGAACATAAACTAAAATAATAAATCAAAACAATAACGTTTAAAAATATGACAAGATACTATCATGTGACAACATGATTTCTTTAAGCTTTTTCTGACTGAAAAATAACTCCATTGCAGAGAAAAATTAAAATGTTTTATAACTATTATGTTCTAAAGAAAAGTTCCTCGAAAAAAAATACTAGATTTTCCAAAAATAGTCTGAAAAATGATTGACGAATTAACTTATCATTTCTTATATTGTATTTATTTTTATATTTTAGTTAGTTTTACATTTATACATAAAACAAAGAATATTAAAAACATTCAGCTGGTATATACTAAGAATACCTAATATTTTAATTAACTGCTATTCTAAAAAAAAAAGTAATTAGTGCTAATTCTTTTGGTATCTATGTTGATGAAAAGATTAGTTGGAAATACCACATTGAATTCTTGTGTAATAAAATTGCTAAAAGAATACACATTGAATTCTTTTGTAATAAAATTGCTAAAAGTATAGGAATATTGTATAAACCTAAAGGTATGTTAAATAAACGTAGTCTAATTCAATTATATTTATCTTTTATACATTGTCAACTATGCAAATATCGTTTCGTGCAATGCCAATAAATATAAACCGGAGCCTCTTTATCGTCAACAGAAGCATGCCACTCGTCTTGTTAATTTTAAAAACAGATTTACTCATGCCAAGCCTCTTTTATTTGAAATGAAAATTTCAAATAAAAGAGGTATTATTTTTTTATATTTTTAGAGGTATTATTTTTTTATATTATAAAAGAAAATGTTCAAATAACCTGAACGCTAAAATGTTTTCTCTAAAATGTTTTGTAAGATTTGTAGTATCATTTTCTTTGAAAATCGGTGTGACTTTGACTATAAATACCGTAAAAATGCGTCAATTATTTCGTGTAATAAAATTAAATGGTTGCAAACTAAGAGGTGGACATTAGGAAAACATTTTAGCGTTAAGGTTATTTGAAAATTTTCTTTTATAATATAAAAAAATAATTTCTCTGAAAATCTATTCATAATAAACTGTTGTTATTTAATATAACTTTATTTGGTAAAGAAGTTTTTTAATAATTTGATATCAAAAAAATAAAAACTACAAAGTATTTTTTGATTTAAATTTCAAAAAACTTTGTTGACATTAGTAAAACTTAAAAACTCATTGTTCTTAGGTCTGATCCTGGTTTCTAGCTAAAGAATATTATCTGTAGCAGAGCCGTTTAATTACAGTTCTTGATAAAAAAATTATTTGAAAATCCTCCAAAGGACAAACAGATAGAAGGCTAGTCATTGGAAGATTGGCTAGCCAAAAAATTATTAAATAAAAAATAAAAAACAATTTAAATAAAAAAAGTTATTACAACGTAATAAAACAAAAATGTTTATTGATACCTTGAAAAATGTTGATTCATGCAGGCATATATACTTGAGTTTTCTTCATCCCAATAAACTCCTCTACCATAGCTTTCTACAATAATATAAGATTTTAGAAATTAATTTATAAAAATTTTTTATATCTATATATACATTTCATTTTTTAAGATAGTTAACTTCGTGTCATTTTCTAACTTTACGTTTATTGTACTCTGATTTTACTGCTAGAGTTTTCAGATTTGACCAATCAAACATACCATTACATTTTCTACCATGTTCGGTTGCACCAGACGCATCCCATTCACTTTTTAAATTTTTTTGATGTTTAATGCATCTCGTTAAAACTTTTATTTTTGTTTCGCCAATGTATATTCTGCCACAAATGGATGTGAGTATATAGACACCGGCATTACTATTGGGAGTTAACTAACTAAGTTGTTGCATTAAAAGTTTTTAACGTTGGTAGTGTAGTAAAGATTATTTTGACGTTGTAAAGTTGACGTTCATTTTTATGTTTCGCACCTATTATTGGGTGCCATGAAAATTCAACTAAATAATTAATGCAGTTAATACTCAACATATATACATAATACGTATACTTTAAGGGAAAAGAATAAAGAATAAAGGAGCGGAATATGTTGTAATAAATGAAGCGGACGCAAATTTATAAATGAGAAGAGGAAATTAAATACTAAGTTACTATCAACTATGACCCGACTCAAACCCTTATGACTAAGTTCCAGAAGCTGTAATGCAAATTACAAAAACAAAAAAGTTTTATTACAAGGCTTATTTTCAACTGTACCCTTCTGGCTGCGTCCCTCCAAGTTCATAAGGAGTCTTAAAGGCTCGAGAACTAGAAAATAATTATTCAATGCGGCTAGTTGTTTCTACTGTAGGTGCCCCATCATATGGATCACCGGAGTATTTTGTGAAAATTATACAGCCGACCTTAAGCAAAAATAAAACAAGGTTGTCGAGCTCCTCTTCGTTTGTCAACAAAGCAAATTCTTGGTTATTTGATCCTATTGAAATTCAAGTCCCTTTTGATGTGGTGGCGTTATATTCCTCCATTTTGGTTGACAGAACAATTCCTGTGTTTACCGATATTTTAAATCACGATATCGATAACCTTAAAAACCAAATTAACTCTTAGTGTTATACATAAAATGATCGAACTCTGCCTTAACTAATGTTATTTTTTAAACAAAAATGAGATTAGATCTATAGCAATATACAACTATACGACTATTCTTAATTCGTAATTGCCGAAGCGTTTTTGACAGCATTTGAAAACAAAAACTCTTATTACTGCTGAGGTTGGTCATTTTTCGCCCACGATTTACAGAATGTATGTAGATGACAGTCATGCAAGATTTGACTCAATAAAAAGACATGATAAATAAAGTTATTAAATAAACAAAATCTAGCAATAAAATATACTTTAGAAAAAGAAAAGAATAAAAAGGAATTGAACTTCTTAGATGTAACTGTAATCAACACTAATAACTAATACACTAATAACACTAATAACTCATACTATAACTTTAAAATCCATCGAAAGTTGGCTATTACTAATATACAAGTAAAAACTACATCAAACATTAAACCAAAAATAGTTATGGGTGTTTTTAAAGGTTTTGTATCTCGTACCATTAAATTTTAATAATAAAATACAGTTTTCAGTGAACATGTTTGCAGAAAATGGACACGATAGATGAAAGCTTGAAACAACTGCTAAGAACTATATTCAGAAAAAAAACAGCCTTTCTAAAATAAACTATGTTAAATCAGAAATTTGTAAATATACAGTTAAACGTCCATGGCTCCCTATAGTGGGTTTAAAATTTAAAAAAGAACTTAAACTTTACAACGTCAAAATAATCTTTACTACACTACCTACGTTAAAAAACTTCTTATGCAACAACTAAGTCAGTTAACTTCCAATAGCAATCCTGGTGTCTACAAATTTACATGCTCTTGTGGCAGTATACACGTAGGCGAAACAAAGGTGAATATTTTTACGAGATACATTGAACATCAAACAAATTCTTTGAAAGGTAAATAGGATGCGTCGGGTGCAACCGAACATGGTAAAGAATGCAACGGTATGTTTGATTAGTCAAATCCGAAAACAGTAGCAATAAAATCAGAGTACAATGGAACTACAGTTAGAAAATCACTTGAAATTAACTTGAAATTAAGTCTCAGCATACACAGAAATAAAACAAGTTCCTATACTTCTCAACTGTTAAAGTTTCTTCAAACAGTTAGAGACCTCTGTTTAAAAAAATTATCCAAAAAAAAGGAAATTAATAGTTTTTCTATTTTTAAATTTACCTTGTTATTTAATAACTTAATGCTTTTTTGTAATGTCATCTTTGATGTTTTTATTTAATATTTTTAGCGGTTTTTTTTATTTAATTTACGTCTGACGACAATCTCTGCAAAAAAAAGTGGAAGGGAAAAATTGTTACGAAGGAAGAAAAAAATTTAGTTTGTACGCAGCTGGAAATTTTTATTATTTCTATGATATTTACCTAGAAAATTTTAACATTGTGTTAACATAGTTAAATAAATTAATATGTGTAAGCAGATATATAAATTTCAATAACAAGTAAAAGTATTTAATGATATTTTATTTTTTTAAGCAATTTTTAGATTGTATGGCAAAACGAATATGAATTTTTTGATTAATGCTTGATATATATATATATATATATATATATATATATATATATATATATATATATATATATATATATATACACATGTATTTGTGCCGTTGTATATATTTATAAAATGTTAGTTTAAAATCAAGACAAAATATTTTTTATAATAGTACAAATATTACCTTTGAGAACTTGTTGATAACTGTTAATTGGAATACTTGGATAGTTAAAACACTCAACAGCCTGTCTGAATGTTTTAAAGAATGTTGAGCGATTCCCAGATTCCACTTGAGTTGATAACTTTAAAGGGATATCCAATGTAAATAAACCAGGCAAAGGGCATTTTAAGTTTTTATAATAAGCAATAAACTTATAATCAAAGGGTTCAAAAGCATTAATTTTTCCTTCAAACTAAAACAACGATAATTTTCAAAATAATTAGAGTGTAACAGCATGTTGTCATGAGAATAATTAAACGGTCTTTAAATTACACAAAGCTATAATACTACAGAATATTTTTTTAATAATGCATTATATAGAAAGCATATTTAAACAAAACTTTATATTTACAAAAAGAAATACAGAATTTTACCACCAGTAAAATATTTTCAACTATTTAACTTTTTGATCGCTGACTCATTACCTTACACAAAATTGAGTATGAAAAACTATTACTATGTATCAGGGGCTAAATTCATTTAATGATATTATTATCTATTACGTTTATGTTGTATTACACTAACTTAATTTTATATAATTTAACTGCTTCAAACGATTTTTTTTGGATCTTAAAATAGTTCAAAAAGTATCAAGCTGAAGATAAGGTGTTTTGCAGATAAGTATAAATGTAGACTTATTTGCATGTGAAAGTTTAGTTGAATATTTTTTAGTTTGTAATCGGATTTACAATGTCTATATAATAAAATAAAGTTTCATTAATTTTTTTTTTTTAATCATTTTAAATATATCAGTCTAAATATTTGTTAAAAACAAAATTTTAATTATTTAGAAAATCTATTAACCTCTCATTAATAATTCATCAGAGAACTACATAAATTAATGTCAAAACATTAATTTATGTAGTTCTTTGTAAATTAAAAAAACATAAATACAAAAGTCTCTTACAGAGTACTTCATTTTATTGATGTCAGTCCTAACAAATCGTTGAATAACGCTTTCAGCTGTAAAATTAAAAAATGGTGGTAAAAAGTATTCAAATTGTACAGTAGCATTTGCAATTGTTTTAAATGTAGGATAAATCTGTAGATTTAATGTTAGAAGTTGCCTAAAGTAAAAAAATTGAAGTCTATTTAAAACCACCTAATAATAAGTTTATATTACAAAAGAATCCTTAATGAAAATGAAAAAAAAAAAAATCAATAATATATTGTTGGTCTGTTTACATAAAAATATTATTACCAATTTAGTTTAAAACAAATTTTTGATTTTACATTAATTAACATATAGTTTCTCACCAATAATTAAAACTTGCTGTTAAAATCTGATTAAATATAACACAATTTCAATTTTTAGTAAAGTAAATTATTAACAAAATACACTTGCCCACCTATTGCATTCACCTGTTAAAATTGTTTAAAGCACCTTTTGTAAAATAGCTAGATCTTAAAAGTATAAGGTGATGATAGTGAAATGATGAACTCATGTATTACCATTCAGCCTAATGGTTTTAAACTTCTAAACAGAGCTCAATACTCTTCAAATGATCTGAGAAAGTTTCAACAAGAAAAAAATGTTTGAGTAAACATATTAATAGCTTATGTAACATTTTACACCAAATTTTGTTTAACTTACGACAAAACCTATTGAGAACATGTCCTACATATATGTTACTTCAAAACAATTTCACTAAATTCAAAACTTAACAATTTACCACAAGTATATACCAGATAATATTAAGTGTCATAGAAAAATATCTGCTAACAAAATACTCTAATAATGAGTTTGGAATTCTTTTTTTTTTTTGTAGGAAAAAAAATAAAAGAGCTAAAAATCAAGTTGTCGCTGTTTTTATTAAGTTTGGTTAAAATGTTGATGCACGACCTTTATATCATGAAAAACTAAGAGAAAAGCCAAAAAATATGTACATAATTAAAAGAGTGCAATCTTTTAGACAAATCTATTTCATATGCCAGTAACTTAGATAGGAAGACTGTTTAGTATTGAAAAAATATTTTAACCGCCTAATAGAAGTATAAACAAAATTCAAACAAAATCATAACATTTTTTTTTTATGCATAATAGTTACACAATTATAAACAAAGTTTAATAAGTTCCAAATCTATTCTTTTAAAAAAATACCGAAAAGAGACGTTTGATAAAGTTTTATAAAGCAACACAATTGATAAACTAAAGTAAATAAATAGTGAACAATAATATTTGTTTTGGATATAGTAATAAGTTTCTTTCGTAAGAATTATTTTCAATTAAACATTCCAGATAACCTTTTTATTAGTTTGCTTGTTTGTTTCTGAAAAGTAACTTGATCTTTTTTAAAAAGTTTTAATTTAGTTCTAAAATAAAACAATAGTTTCTATTTACAGATCATATTATTATGTGTACGTTTAAAACATTTGATCCTAATTTTTCTCCAAAACTTATCATAGTCACAGTGAAAATGTTTTTAGATAATTACAATTAAGATACTATTAAGGTTTTTTATTGTATGACAAAGTTTTCTTGCAATATATTACCTCATACTTACACCTTAAAATTTAAAATTATGTAAAATGTATTTATTACATACCCTTGGAGAGACACAGCGTTTGAAATTCTCCATAATGATTTGCTAATATCTGAATTAAAATAAGCAAATACATAGCATAAACAAATAAAATTTGTTAATTAAAATATAAGAAACTTATAATATAAGATTGCCTCAAATGTAATACATTATAAAAACAAAGCTTATACAAGGTGAAAATTTTCTAATAGGGGGACGTTTATTAAGTACGTGCGCTTTTTTATCGTCCAAAACCACGTTTGCAATACGCCTTTTTGAATTCCCTCCAACTTCCTAAAAATATCTACGGTTTTAACCTATTTATCTAACATTTTATGATATTTTTTTAATTTAGTTTCTCCTTTCTTTAATAATTGACCCACTGCCCCCCATTTCATATACAGTGTTTTTAAGTAAAAACCACATTAAAGTTTGGAGTTAAAATAAGTTTATAAACAAATGAATGGACTTTTTAACATAGGCAAGTCAGTGGTCAGTGTTGGTTTGATGATGTCAGCGACAATATCAACAGTTCGATTGACATTATAGACAGTATAAGTCATATAGAATTGACCAATACAGATTTGAAAAGACAAAAAGAATGTCTTTTGAACATTCTACTGAAAATAAGTTTTGATAAAATTCTTTGGTGGTGCGTTGTTCACTCTCAAAAAATGCTTGAAAGTCTGGTGAGAGAGAAGTTAAAAATCTGTTCTATTGAAAGATGTTTCCACTACAGTGTTATTATAATAAAATAGGAACTTCTTTTTTCTGCACAGCTCTTGTTGTCATTAAATTTTACAATCTGCTTCAAATATGAGCTGGTTTCTCTGTGACTATAATACCATTTTGATTAGCTAGCCAAAGTCAATGTACTCTCCTGCTGTTAAGTGTGACCAAACTTCAGATTAAGTGTTACCTGCAAACTAAAAGTTTCTTTTCTTTAAACCAGTATAGTTTATGAGTAATATGCAAAAGCTTTTTAAAAGACAAAAGTTTAAAATATTTTGATTTTTTTTGTACTGCTAAGAACTTCATCCATAAAGAATTGCCCTATCATTTAGAAAGAAAAAAAAAACTAAATTGTTGGAAACCAAACGTAAGGCAAATATTTTAGGAAATAAATCGTACAAGTTTAAATAAACATAAGTATTTTAAAGTGAGGAAATATTTATTTTTATACAAAAATTGTTTAATTTAATTATTTAGTTGTTTTATAAACATTTTATAAAGATAAAGGTTTAAAATATGTAGAATGTGGTTTCAAATTAAATTAAATTACAATTATGTACTCTAACATACTCAACGAACTTAAGTTAACATTTAACAATGTAATATAATAATATATTTATTGAGTAGAATTACATTTACTTATGCTAACGCAACAAAATTTCATAACAAAGCCTGTTGAGTTGTTTTTGTTACAAAATTGTTTTTTTAAATAATTCATAGGATCTAAGTTTAATGGTTTTCTTTTAAGCAGATTAGAATAAACTTGCATACTGCAAAACAGACAAGGTTTTAAGTTTCAGCTAATATCAATAAGAGTTAAAAAGTATTAGACATATTAGTTACAGTTACTATTATGTATGTATCATGTCTGGTTTATTAGCTATGGTATAAAATGTTTTTTTAAGTTTAGTTAAAGATTTTTCATTGTTTCATTTAAAAGAAGTACGACACTATCAAAAATTTGGAAATTGAGGACTGTTTAATCAAATCCATATTTTAAAATTTAAAAAGTGTATAAAATAGGAAAAATGTATAGTCACTAATGTAATGATAAGAAACAAAAATTGCATGGTAAACTAGTTTTACGCTTAACTTTTGAAGCAAATGAGAGTAAATATAAGAATATTAAGCAAAGGCTGCTGAATGCAACCCTAGGTGAATGTTTTTAGATTTGAAATATGTAATTTATGAAATATATAAATAGACAATGAAATATGTACTTTATGCTTAAGCCAGTTATGATCAACATTGGCTTTATGTTATTATAAGTTTATCAGACTGCTCACAGACTTTTAACAGTTTGAATTAAAACCTTCCAACTAAGTATCTTTTAAAAAAACTATTTACCTATTTTTTATATGTTAGCCGATTTAGTGTTAAAACTATTTTAAAAATATATTTTGTAGATTTTCAATAAAAAAAAAAAGAATTAATACATAATAAAACCCTTGTCCGTTTTGGAAAGTAGAAAATCAGTAATAGTCAGGTAGCCCTTTTAAAATAAATTAAACCATCATTTTAACACTTTATACTGTTATTTGTTTGTCATATTTTATGAAAAGACAAGTTCATTTTTGAAAAAAGTACATACTCGATATCAAATTAGACGATAGTCTAATGTTTTACTTAAAAAAAGCGTCTATTGTTTCACTTTTATAAATATTTTCAAAAGGTATTTCCATAGCTTTTCAAATTAAGCAGTGCTTTTGTTATTTTAAAATTAGGTATCAACAATAAAAGTATGTTTTAACTACATTTATTGTAGGTATACTTTTATGATGGAGTTATTTGCTATTAAGTGGTGCTGAGGCATAATATCCCAAGTAGCAAACAATATTGGCGTAATAATGGCGCGGTATTGGGTATCTTGGCTAATATCGGCCAAGATATCTGATATTGCGCCAATATTGTCAAGCAATATTACGCTAATATTGTCTTACCAATATTGGCAAACAATATTGCATTGTCGTTTTACTAATATTGTTATGCTAATATTGGCGAAATATTCTTTGCCAATATTGGCTTTATACTAAATTTTACATATTGGTACGCATGTCTACTAATATGTAAGGAATATTCATTTAAACGTTAGGAATATTCAAAATGTCCTTTAGTTTTGTTAAATGTGTTTAAATGTTTTTGTTAAATGAATATAATAGCATCTTTTTACATAAACAGACATCCTTATGTTATTAATTTTTTTACAAAAACAAATAAGAGTTCAAAATAAAAATTTTTATTTTTAAAAAGAGAAGAAATAGAAAAAGTATTTTTAATTCAACATTTACCGAGTGAATCAGGAGATGAACTGGGTAACACCGTGTATATACATATATATATTAAATCACAAAGTTGTAAAATTGAAGAACAAAATATATATATATATATATATATATATATATATATATATATATATATATATATATATATATATATATATATATATATATATATATATATATATATATATATATATATATATATATATATATATATATATATATATATATATATATATATATGTAAATACATTATCTTGCAATATATCATTAACAAGCGTCATTAACCTTAACAAGATCATTATTTAAAGGTTTAAAAAAAACTTTTTTTTAATGTTTTTATTGACGTTACATATTCTCGAGTTCAGGTTTTTCTTTTTTATTTTTAATTTTTTTTTTCATTGCGCTTTTCTCGAAATTTGTATAAAAGGCGTTTTGAAAAACAGCTGCAGTATATCAAAAACAAAGAAAAGAAGCAATTTAAATAAAAAACTTTAAAAGATTGCTCATAATGAAACAAGTTGATTAATTAAAATTAAACATATATAAAATAAAAAAATTTTCCTGCTGTAAATGTAGCTTCCAGCAAAAATAGAAAATTTATTTTGATTGAAATTTAATTGCAGAATGTAAGGACTTTTTTTTTTTTTTTTTTCTATTTAGCCGCACCTGAACTCCCAATTTCGCAAAAACGCTGAATAAAATTGAAAAAAAATGAGAATCCTGGGTAACACCCTGATATATTAGATATATATTATTGACCTTCACACACAAAGACACACATACGCACACACGCACACAAATGTTTTACAAGATAGTAATTTTGCTATAAAAAAGTTTTTTTTATAAGGTCTTTTATTTTATATATGTATATATTTATATGCGTATATATATATATATATATATATATATATATATATATATATATATATATATATATATATATATATATATATATATATATATATATATATATATATATATATATATATATAATAAAAGTAATTACTCGGTAGACAGTGCTCAATACAAAAGTAGAGCAAATATAATCTTATTGAAAAGTATTTTCCAAAAACACATAAATTTCGAAAAATTTTTAATAAGAATAATTTAAAAGTTAGTTATAGCTGTCTTCCTAACATCACCAATATTATTAATTCATACAATAAAAAAATATTATCTAATGTTTCCAACACAATAGTTCCAACATGTAACTGCCGGCAACCTTCTCAATGTCCTTTGCAAGGTATGTGTCTCAGTAAAAATATAATTTACGTCTGCAATGTAAAAACATCACCGCAGGATAGTGGTCTTAATTATATTGGTCTAAAGGAACACACATTTAAAGATCGCTGGTACAAAAATAAAAATTCCTTTCAATACGAAAGTAAAGCTAACACCACAGAATTTTTGAAATATATCTGGGAAATGAAAAAAAAGGGATTTTCAAATCCTATTCTTACGTGGAAAGTTATTGATAGGGCGGAACCATTTAAACCTGGAGGAAAGTTATGTAACCTTTGCTTAACCGAAAAATACCATATCACTACGTCATCTTTGAAACTACTGAATAAACGAAATGAACTAATATCAAAATGTCGCCACGAAAACAAATTTGTTATTTGCAACTTTAACGTCATCTAAGCTAACACTGTGTTGTATTTTTGTATATAATTTTTGTTGTTGTTACGGTTGTTTTAACGTCTGATGATGGCATAAAGCGTGAAACTCCGAGTTATGTTTCAAATCTAATTGTATATATATATATATATATATATATATATATATATATATATATATATATATATATATATATATATATATATATATATATAATATATATATTTAAATATATATACATATATATATATATATATATATATATATATATATATATATATATATATATATATATATATATATATATATATATATATATATATATATATATATATAGTTATGAGCACAAAGGGAATATGTCCACTAACCATTGTTTTGAGAAATATGAATTTGAAAGTTTGAAAACATACAACAAATCATTATATTTATTTATTGTCATGAT